AGTTGCCGAGTTGAAAGTAGGTGACAAAATGCTCTCGCTTTTCGAACACACACACAGACAGCCTCTCGACAAAATGCCTTTTTGCTGGCTGTAGCAGCGCTATAGCGCTGTTATAGCGCTGCACAGCAAAAACGCATAAAAACGCATGAAACAACCGGGATTCACGCGAAAAAGTGGTGATCATGTACCTGGAGATTTATGCACCACCTTCATCCCAACCGACGTCCTTTCTCCTGCATGCCGAAAGAGGCCAAAGCACGGCCAACATGAGCCCAAGTGTTAGGTTACAGCGCAGTGATCATTCCTGCTATTAGCGACCTGCGAGTTTAGTCCAAAACGCATGATCGCACTGGCAAGCCTGATGCGTTCCAGCCTCGGTTAAAAGTTATATTTTGGCAAAGTGACGTCGATTTTTACGTAAGGCATAGCCCAACAAAGCGCCTTAAATTTGCAGACCGTTGCTGAACGAAGCCCTGAATTAAGCAGCAAAAAGAAAAAGCAAGTTTGAAACTTTGGGAAATCATTCTGCAAATAAAGCTTAGTATGTAGCACAATCGTGACGAATCTCGATCACTGAATTTCATTTGTGCATGATAGCTCGTCAAGCAAGTGTACTGGAGTAGTGGACTTAAACTGGTGATTTGCCCATTCATCCTGCTATTAAATTTCCATCTACTAAAGTGGGTAATTCCACAACAAAACCAGTTTAGCAAACGAACCACGGTTGGCTTTGTGGGTGTCTGCTTCACTGAAAAAATTTAACAGTGGCGCTGGAAACAAATCCTGAAGAATAACGGTCAACTATAGCTCAACAAGGACTTTTATCTGACCAGTAGTCTCAAATATTCTGTCTGCATTTTTACGCGACGCATTATAATTAAACAGTATCTGTATGTATATAAAGATAAGCATGTATGTGTCGAAAGATTTTTCGCCTTTTTCCAAAATTCAGAACAGGCATTCAGTTTGCTACGTTTTTTATGCGTTTCTGCATATATGTAAATTGCAAAAACGCATATTGGGAAGAGGCTTTGTGTGTCTGCACTTTTTGTCCCCCACTTCCAACTCGAGACCCAGAAAAGCTAGAAGGCCGAAACTTTTTGGGGATATGTGCCTATACCATGCGCGACCCTCCCGTTTTAATTTCATCCCCCTTGGACGCCTGCGTTATTGCCTATACCATGCGCGACCCTCCCGTTTTAATTTCATCCCCCTCGGACGCCTGGGTGCCGCGTACCGATGTTTTAAAAAAATATGCAAATTTTTTGGCGGGAAAGAGATCTCGGGGACCACATAAGCTAAGGGGCTGAAACTTTGTAGGGATATTTCCTGTGCATGTACTAGCTAAAGATTTCAAATTCAGCCTCCAGGTATGCGTGGTACTCACGTAGGGACGTATGGAAGTTTTAGGGGAAATAGCTAACTCGGGTACTAGGAAAGCTAGAAAGCTGAAACTTTGGGAGAATGTTCCCCATCCAAATACAACTCAAATATTTCAAAATCAGCCCCAAACTATGCATTGTACTCACGTAAGGGCGTATGAAAATTACTAACTCGGCAATCAGAAGAACTGGAAGGCG